TGAGAGAATAGATAGCATCTAAAACTGACACTGAGGATCTTCAGTCCTTCAGAAAGTTGCCAACTTTCAAAAACCTAACACAAAACTTCACCTCATTTCTCACGGAGCCCGTCCTCTTCCTCTACGCTGTACTTCCTAGGAAACGAGACCATGCTCAGCAAACCCAACTTTGCTCATAAGCAAGGTTCCCCCAGCCCTGAAAATGATTCTGAGGGCAACTCCGATGCCGCAACCCACCACACCCACCAAAGAGCCCAAACCTGAACGAAGGAGCCCCGTCCGACCAAGGCGTTTCGCTGCCGTCTTTACCTGTACTTAATGCAAAGCAGTGAGCATAAGCTGGTCATCATGGAGAAGGCACTGAGAAGGAGAGCATCCAGGGCTCCACTGAGCCTCTGCATGGTGATGCTCAGCAAGACACGGTTTTCCAGCAGCAGCGTCACTGCTTGGTGCTGCCTTAATGAGCTGCTTGCAGCTGGAAGTGAATATTTAATGAGCCTTTGCTCAGCAGGAGCTGCTCTTGTGACGGGAGACAAGAGGGCTACTCTCAGCTGTTAGGAGCTCTTTGCCAAAACCTCGACAGAGCAGAGATCCCCTCTTCCTGGTCAGTTTGAAAACAAAAACAAAAAAAATAACTTCTGCACTTCTGGGCAGAAAGCTTGCAACATCACCCGGGTTAAGTTTCCACGACAAGCAGAGGGCTGCTTTTTTTGCTGGTAAATGTTTGCAAAAGCATTCTCTGCTGGCCGGCTCGCTTTCTGGAATTAGGGCCAAGCCGAACAGCCCACCACCATCCCGTCCACTCTTGCTGACACGGCCAAAGCAATTTCTATGGCCATTTGTTTGTAGCCCGGAGTTACATAGTAGAACACTTTGAAAAGAAAGGAGGGTTAAAAAACCCACAACACAACTCACAGCAGCTTTCAAAGGCCAAGGGAAACACTTAGAAGAGTTTGTGTAAGTTTGAATTGCGCTGACATCCAATCCGAGGCTGTCAGATCAAGATGTGGGCATAGTGGAATTCTGGTAGCATTGTTGGGTTAACTTGAGCCCTTCTCTCACTCCATGTATTTATTTGACTGACTGCCCCCTCCGCCTCAGTTCCCAGCCCAATGCAGGCATCTCATGTGCAGCTTTAGCCCATGTGAAGAAAAAGTGCCAATGAAGAGCTGTGGGACTGGAGCCTTAATATCCAAAGTTAATTTTGGAAAAGGAAGAGAATGCAGTCTTTCTAACACCTTGCTCCTAGAGCCATGCACTATGAATTAAGCAGGAAAAAAGGTTTTACAAAGATACTTTCACCCCCAATTAATTTTACAGTGATAAAGGAATTAAAGTTCATCACTAAACAAATTAAAGGCTAGTTATTGTGGTCAGCTTAACTTTAATTTTTTTTAAAAACAAATAACTTATTTATTTATATATCAAATTTGAAAACCACCCATCCCCCTCACAGAGCAACTCTGGGCAGTGTACAATGAAAACATAAAAAGCACACAATCCTATCTAAATAATATATTATTAAGCCTTTAAAACAGGAATAAACTAATTAAAATTGAAAGTTGAAAAAGAGTGGAAGGACCTTCAAGGCACTAGTCAATCTCACAGCTCTGTGCTCCTTATCCATCAGATTAATAGCTCTCTCTCTCTCTCTCTCTCTCTCTCTCTCTCTCTCTCTCTCTCTCTCTCTCTCTCTCCCCCTCCCTCCCTCCCTCTCTCCCTCCCACTATATACGTGGTATATCTGTCCTAACAACACTCTTATAATAAAGATTGGGTGGAAATGACTATGCCACCCACTTTGAAAGATGGCTGTGTATGGACTGGAACCCAGGTTTCCCAGGTTAACGATTGATGCTCTATTCATTATACCACACAGACTTCCAGGACTATCAAAATAGGGACATCTGGCAATCCCAATTGCTGTGCACTTATGGCACTAGATAAATAATGAAAGCAACGGCCGCTGCCTCTATAGAACTGCTGAATCAATATGCAGCCACTGGAGGCTTCACTCGAAGCAAATCATTGCTTCTCTCTTTTGGCAAGTATATTTTCTGGTTGTGTAACCTATAGAACCAAACCTTCCTATAGAAACGAGTTTCTCTTTCTTGAACAGCTTGACTGCTCTTTTTTCTCCCTTCTGTGGAAAGAAGTACTTGGCTTCTATTTGGTCTGCCTTTATTTTAGACTGAACACCCTGGGGGCGCAAAGGGGCATAAATCAGTCACAGTAAAGGAAAGGTTATGAATATGGATCAGGCAGAAGGCGCCGGTATTTCATGCATTCTGGAGTTTCTCTTCTGAGTGAAGAAAATCCATAGAGGATAGCCTCAAGTATTGTTTTTTTTTTCTTCTAGTGGAGAGAAAGAAAAGGAAAAAGAGAACCCTGCACACAGTTCCCCTTCCTAAAGTACTCTGTGCAAAAATAATTATATTTACCAAACAAAAGACAACTCTGCATGTATTTATGCTGAACAAGTATAGGAGGATAAATATAATTTAATAAACAGAAGGTACATTAGACCAGCCTGGTTTAGTTCTCTGCTCTCAGAAAAATCAGCACCCTACATTCTAATCCACTGAAATAGGCTGCATCTAATTTTGATTATGGGTTTACAGGAAGATTACAGGATTCTGATATTTTTTATTAGACTAATAAGAAAAGCAAAGTTTACCTGCCACAGAGATAGCAAATAGCTTTTTACAGTGGATGTCATGGAGAACAAAGGGAGTAAGAGAATACCTACACGTTTGAGGGAGCAACTCTGATTTTATGTTGATATAAAATATTGAAACATCCTTATAATTATTAGACATGTTTTCATTAGAATTGATATCCAGATGATCTCTAGGACCAATGGGTTGTTTGCCAGTGATCTGGCAATGGCTACATGATTCAGCTTAGATTTAGCCAAGGTGCTCACACTGTATATTTAGTAAAAACCAAATCGCTCTAATTGCTTCAGGCCATCAATTCTAAGCAGACACCCAGCAATGCCCAGCAGATTTGGAGCTAACAGTGGTTAGTGTTCCATGTGCATAATTTGCTGTGTAAGTCTAAATAATATTTTATAAACTTACTTTGCCTAAGGTTACAAACTATGCTACACAGTTAACTACAGTTATTAAAGCAATAGATAAAGATAAAAAATAGGGAAGACCATAGAGATACAAGAAGCTGCTGGACACTGAATCAGAATTTTGGCTGAGAACTGTCAACTCTGAATGAGGGCACAGGGCTAGGTAAAAATCTTTCCCACTCCTGCTTAGTGATGTACAGAATTGATCCTGGGCCCCAAGAATAAGGGATTTGTAGCCACGATATGGCAAATGGATACTATTATATACTGCTGGAAAAATGTTTCTGCAATAATTTTAAAAATTTTAAAAATGTACTGCAGGAGAATAATTATAATATTTGAATTTTCTGATTACACAATTAGGACTTAGTTTATATAAAAAAACGGCCAAATTTAGGGTTATAATGTACAATGAATGTAAATGTCTCTCCCCATTTTTGTTGCTTTAAACAAAGGCAGCTTCCTCTCTGTTGGCAGATCATTATGCCAATTCTGCACACCTACGTAACTGTTATTAGGAAATAACTTTCTAATATTCTGGAGAATGGAGCTTTATCGCAAAATCCAAGAATAGTCAGGTTGTCAGATCTCTGTAATAACAAAGACTGAAAAAAATTGGTTTTTCATCAAATATTGTAGTTTCTGAGTTACTATTGCCAAAAACTATAAGGATGAACATTTTACCCTGGAGTTTCAAAGTACAATACCTTATTTATCAGGTATTACTGTACCAAAGCGCCGGGTGAAACTTCATTGATATTCATTGATGTAGGTCAGGGGTCTTCAAACGTGGCCCTTTTATGACTTGTGGACTTCAACTCCCAGAATTCCTGCCTGGGCTGAGGAATTCTGGTAGCTGAAGTCCACAGGTCATAAAAGGGTCAAGTTTGAAGATCCCTGATATAGGTCCAAGAAAGAAAAATAGGAAGAAACGAAGCATATGTAGTTATCCCCATCATACCGTTGCTTTCAGTGTAAGCAACAATATGAAAAGGGACAAAAAGGAGTAAGAATAAAGTAATAAAGGCGGGATAAAAATCTAATAAATAACTGACTGATAAAATAAATGAAGGATATAAAATATGAAAGATAAGAGGAAATATGTACACGAACACCATTCACTATGCCTGTTTATACTTTTCTGTCTTCACAAGGACATACATTAATGTATACACTGCCTTTTTTTCTTCCTATATTAATATACTGTAAGAAATATTCATTTGCCACATCTATAATACACT